TTGGGGGCTGCAGTGGTCTTTGGGAACTGAAGGTTTTGAAAGTACTAAAAAACCCAACATCCTTTGTCTGTCCTCTCCCAAACCTCACCAGGTCATAAAGGGGGTCATGGGGGTTATGTGTGCCAAGTTTGGTCCAGGTCTGTCACCCGTACTGGTCTCAGTAGCCTATGAAAGTGGCAGCCAATCAGAACGCTGCCATATACACATGTACAAACATTCACTAGCCGTCCCCTGCTACGCGTTGCTGTGGCCCAGTCTGTGTATATGTGTTTTGTGTGTGTGTATATATGTGTATATGTATATATATGTGTATATGTGTATATATGTGTGTTTGTGTATATGTGTGTGTGCATGGTTTTGTGCATACGTTTTAATATATTCTTTAACTTTTGGCTTTTTAAGTCCCTTCCACCACGTTTTTCAGTGTTTTTATGAGTGATGGTCATTTGTTGGCCTGATAGGTGTGTTGTGTTCAAATTTGGTGTCAATTTGTCCAGTGGTTTTTGCATTATGTTAATCCCACAAACGAACATTACATTTTTATTTATATCGAAATAGATTGCTGCCCTGAAGATGCTAAGGATGCCATGAGAGCCATGAATGGAGAATCTGTGGATGGCTATCAGATCAGAGTTGACCAGGCTGGCAAATCTTCCCGTGGCTCTTCAGGAGGCAGATGGTTGGCCATGGATCCTCTAGAGGAGGTAGAGGATATGTAGGTGGCCAATAGGACAACAGAAGCGGTGGCTATGGAGGATTCAGAGATTACTCTAGGAGCTCCTACAGAGACAACGAAGATAACTAGCTTACACTGAGCACAAATCCTTCCTGAATCAAGATCATCCTTCCAATAGTAGCTGAATCTTGTTTAGTTCTCTACCTGTATTTCCCCTTTTTCATAGTCTTTATCATGAGCAGCCCAACAGCTTTTGCGACAGAATGGCCTATTAGACCTTTCTGGAGGAAAACATTTAATTTGCCTTTTTAAAGCATTTTGGCATAGTGGGTTGAAGTGCTGAGCTGCTGAACTTGCTGACTGAAAGGTCGCAGGTTCAAATCTGAGGAGCAGCATGAGCTCCCGCTGTTAGCCCATCTCCTGCCAACCTAGCAGTTTGAAAACATGCAAATGTGAGTAGATCAGCAGGTACTGTTTTGGCAGGAAGGTAACAATGCTCCATGCAGTTATGCCAGCCACATGACCTTGGAGGTGTCTACAGACAATGCTGGCTCTTTGGCTTAGAAATGGAGATGAGCACCACCACCCCAGAGTCAGACACGACTGGACTTAATGTGAGGGAAAAACCTTTACCTTTACTTTAAGCATTTTGAATACATACTTGCTTCCCCTGCCCTCACATTCTTTTAACAAGCTAGGATGGGGGCTCTGATCTTTATTTCATATACAGCTTCCCAGGATCTGAAAGAGGTGCATTAATACCTTGTCGTTTTGTAAAAGTTCTATGGTGTAGTGAGGAAGGGGTATAGTGGAAGGCAAACCCTTTCATTATAAAGGGAGTCTCATTTGTTTGATCTTCAGAAATCAGAATTTATACTGTATGATGTACCTAGAACTGAAGCTTGCAGAACTTGCAAGTTGTTCTTGAAAAATGTTTGTGTGTGTGTATGTGTGTTTGTCTGTCTATCTGTCTATCTATCTATCTATCTATCTATCTATCTATCTATCTATCTATCTGGAGGATTCACATGTAACTTGATATTGTACTAAAAGTGGTTAAGGAATTCTTGTATTCAGTTCTTTGGCTTCACAAAGCCTATTAAATGCCCTTCTGAAGAATTCAATAAAGTGGGGTCAAACTGCATTAGTTCTACAGTGTAGATGTACCCATAGCTAGACTGCCTTTGCAGCTCTTGCCTCTTGCTCTGGGTGCTTGTGGATCTGTCCTGTGTTCATTGTCAAGTTCAGCTCCCCGCCCCACAATCCTCCCAAGTACATCATGTGCTCCTTGAGTGTTACCTGGCTACCAACCTTCAATATCTGAATATGAATGAATACATAAGGGGTAGAGTGAATGGGACCAAATATGGAAATTGGTAATTGGCATGGTCTATTAAAACACCCTCCCCTTTGATATATGCTTCAAGTTCTTTGTCAACTTCCTTCATAGCCCCAAAGCAACATTTCCCTGTTTTTCCCCCAATTCAAAGTGACGTTCCATCACACTGGGAGACTAAGGACAAAGAAGTCTCTATCTACAAAATATGGATGACTGAATTACAATTGCAGTCCTGGAATGATGTTATCAGGAGGACAAAGGCAGAAGACAGCGGCTGCCTTGGCACCAACTACTCTTAGTCAAATGAATTAGACTGTAGATAATTACTGCGCCCAATTTTAAGATGCTTGCTCTAGCCTTAAGTGCAAAATTTGTTTTGTTGAAAACATCTATAACTCTGATGGTATTGCATTGTAATGACAGAGAGGTGACATCCCCGTTTTCAGGATTATGTTTTCCTAATGAAAAGTGCAACCCAAAGCTCATTGAGAAGGATGCAGAACAAAAATTCATTCTATATATCTTCTTCCCCTCTATGCATAAATGCCAAATTACCAACATCCCATTTGTAGAATGGCTTTTCAGAGGTATTATTTCCTTTGCTCACCCAGATTCCTCTATTCAATTGGTTTTCAAATTTATTCCTAAAATTTTGCCATTATAGTCAGCCCGAAAGCAGTGAATTGGGCCCGGCTGCCGATTAGTTGCCGGGCCCAATTCAAGGTGCTGGCGATGACCTATAAAGCCCTATATGGTTCGGGCCCCACCTATCTCTGTGATCACATCTCTCCCTATAAATCAGCACAAAATCTACAATCAAGCAGGGAGGCCCTCCTCTCGCTCCTGCCACCGTCTCAAGCACGGCTGGTGGGAATGAGGGAAAGGGCCTTCTCGGTAGTGGCCCCCTGCCTCTGGAACGCCCTCTCCAGAAAATTAAGACAGGCCCCATCACTCTCCTCTTTTAATTGGGATTTGAAGATCTAGTGAACAGAATTACTGGGTTGTTGTGAGTTTTCTAGGCTGTATGGCCAGTTCCAGAAGCATTCTCTCCTGACATTTTACCTGCATCTATGGCAGGCATCTTCAGAGGTTGTGAGGTCTGTTGGAAACTAGGAAACTCTGCTGGAAACTCTAAAATCATAACAGTAAATAAAGAACATTCAAAAACAGGGGAACTCCGGACAAGAAACAATCAGGGACAGCTAATCACCTCTCAACAAAGGATTCCCCCAGGCAATAAGAAGCCAGACCTTGAAAACTGCTAGGCCATTAAATGCTAATCAAGGTGGCCAATTGAAACATTCAAACTTACCTCTGACGGATAAGAGTTTTTTCTCCCACCCTGGACATTCCACAGATATGTAAAGTCCATTTTCCTAGTTTCCAACAGACCTCACAACCTCTGAGGATGCCTGCCATAGATGCAGGCGAAACGTCAGGAGAGAATGCTTCTGGAACATGGCCATAAAGCCTGAAAAACTTACAACAACCCAGAGCATGGACAGCCATCTATCAGAGGTGCTTTGATTGTGCTTTTCCTGCATGGCAGAATGGGGTCGGACTAGATGGCCCATGCGATCTCTTCCAACTCTATGATTCTAACAATCTTTTAATGCTGTGCATGTTGCACATTTGTTATCCGTATGTTTTCAAATGATTTTACACAGTTTAAAATCAAAGCGTTTTAATAAGGAATTTTCATTTTGTTTTTATCATTAGGATTTTAAATGTATCTTTGTTTAATATGTGTTGTGAATCACATATGGGGAGAAAGTCAGGATACTTAGTAAATGAACAGACAGCATGTCTGCACACAACTGAAATCTCATTCCCCCTTGTATGAAGAAAACTATCCCATCTGGAAAGAAACTTGGCTAACACCTTTCTCCTTGATGGGCTAGTTTTCACAATCTATGAAGCATTCACGCATATGCTCTTTCACTAAATCCACATTCTAGATGGTAAACCTGGGAAGACTATACTATATGCTTTAATCTGGGATTAAAACTCAGAGAGCTTCAAGTATCATTTATTTCACTCATCCTATAAACAGGCTGTGGCTTCATAACAGCTTTCCAGTGTAACTTCTGCCCTTGTTAATGAAAACAGGAATTTGACAGATGGTGCTTCCTCCCTTTGACCATTTCAGGTAGGGGGTTTTGCCTAATTAAAACAGCACTGTCCTTCAAGAGCCATCTTCTCTCTGCTTCCCAGGCAGATGGTATAACTTTATTGTCAAGGTTAACAGGAGTGTCTGTGGGAAAGGCGGTGAGTGGGAGAAGAAACAGTAGCATGGCACAATGGGTAACTTCATGTATAATGAATTGGGGGAAATATAACAAATCTAGAAGAAAACATGTAAATATAGCCAATGGAAGAGTCTATTTTCTGGTCCTTTTGTATGTGTACCTTCGTAACTTCACACAAAATTCTGCATATAAATGCATACTTAAATAAGTGTTCTTGAAAGTTTTTCCTCCACGCAGTACACCTATTTTTAATCTAAACATACATTTCTATGCCTTTTTTGAGTCTGGTTGGACTGGATGGCACTTGGGGTCTCTTCCAACTCTATGAGTCCCGGATTTTTTGGATGTCAGACTTTTCCACACTTTGTGATGCAATTCTTGACTGCAAAAAAATCCAAAATAACTACCCAGTTTTAAAAAGCTGCTGCTTAGATTATACCCTCCCAAAGCCTTACAAAATAAAGTCTAGCACACACTCTTAAGTACCGCTAAGCCATAAGTAAACACTGAGAATTGTTAAATTTCTTTGGTGCTGGTCATCGACCGTAATAAATAAATATATTGTTACATTTCATGCATTCCATGAGAAACTGCATGCACTATAGCAGACTGTGGCAGGGAAGATGTCGTTATCTTTTGCAGGCATTGAAAGGCAGACAGCAAGGCTGATGGAGATTTCAAATGGAGAAAAGTAAGGGAACGTTCTGTGCAGAGCTCAATGCTCAGATGTAATTACCTCTAAGAGTGCGGCTGACATCCCCTCTGAAATGGAACTGTTCACAACAGCAAAGCATTTCTTCACAGCAGCATGAAGGTCTTCCTGGGGGATCTCCTTCAGCAAATGTACCCCATCCGCCCTACCGAGCAAACATTGTTGAGTCTGTTAATTGGCCTCCAGACATGGGACTCCAGGGCCATTCAATGATACTAAAAGGCATGTGGCTTGGGGACAACAGTGTGTTCTTATTTTAGAAACAGAGAAGTCAGAGGAAGTGCTTTATTTGTATTGTTGACATCGACTGATAGTGACTTTCCAGGGTTTCAGCCAAGGGTCCTAATGCAATCCTATTGGGGTGGAGGGATACTCCTGTATGCAAAGGTTCTCTGCTGGACTGACCATGTTGTCCAAATGCCCAATCACCGTCTCCCAAAGCAGATACTCTACTCCAAACTCAAAAATGGGAAACGGAATGTTGGTGGACAGGAAAAGAGATTTAAAGATGGGCTTAATGCCAACTTCAAAAACTGTGGCATAGACACTGAGAACTGGGAAGCCCTGGTCCTTGAGCGCTCTAACTGGAGGTCAGCTGTGACCAGCAGTGCTGCAGAATTTGAACAGGCATGAACGGAGGGCGAAAGAGAAAAATGTGCCAAGAGGAAGGCACGTCAAGCCAACCCTGTCCGGGACCACCTTCCACCCAGAAACTGATGTCCTCACTGCAGGAGAAGATGCGGATCAAGAATAGGGCTCCACGGCCGCCTTTGGACCCACCGCCAAGACACCACATCTGGAGGACTATCATCCTCGAGCTACAAGGGATTGCCTAATAACAAATAATACCAATACTCCAGGGATGTCACTCATTTTCACTGAGGGCCACATCAGCCTTATTATGGCTGCCTTCATAGGGCCCTTGAATCCATGGATGGAGAACCTGTGGGTAAAGGGCCAATCATAACTTTTACACAGTGGTCAGCACTCTTTATTTTTACCCAGTTTAGGTCCCCAGATGTTATTAAACAACAACTCCCATCACTTTCAATTATCCACCATGTGGACTGGGGATAATGGGGATTGCAACCCAACAGCCCTTGAAGCTCTGGGGTTGAGGAAAGGTCAAAGGGCATTTTAATGTCAGGGATCATATCTACAAACCTTGCATCTAAATCCAAAACCTACTCTCCTGACTCAACAGAACAAACTACATCATTGCCAGATGTCACTGTATCCCAACTCCCACCAGCTCTAGTCATGATAAGGTCTCATGATGAGGAAAACAGGAGTGGTAGTCCAGCATTTGTAGGGCCACATAAAATGACATGGTGAGTTGGATTTGGCCCACGGGCCTTGAATTTGACATGTGTCCTAGTCACTTTGAATACTGAATTCCAAGCTCCCAGGTAAGGAGCAGGCATGCACTACCTGGCTGGATGAGACTGGGTCAGGGGGTGCTGGTAACCCATATTAGCTCTGCTCACTAGGTTTTTCTGTATAGTAGCAGGCGAGGCCTGGGGTAGAGTGTCAGTGGTCAATTGCAATTCCATACCCCTGACCAGGTGCCCCATCCCACACTCTGCTGGGTTTGAGTGTGTATGCCTGCTCAAATTGCTCCCTTCCTGAGCTAGCTGGGGTGGTCTCAAGGTTGGAGTCTCAGTGGCTAATAGTGCTGGGTGAGTTCAGCATCCATGCAGAGACTGCCCTGTAAGGAGTGGCTGAGGCTTTCATGGTCCTCATTACAATTATGAATCTGTTCAAAGTGCTGCCTGGTCCTACTCATTGGATGGACATACTCTGGACCTTGTTTACTGTGCTGGATGGGATGGTGATGATCGTGGTGTGGAGGAACTCTCCATAGTTCTGTTGTGATGGACCAATCATTACCTGGTCAAGTTTAGACACACTGGGACTCAAAACTCCTACTGTGGTGCAAGATTGATTAGGATGGCCCACCCTGGGAGATGGATATATAATAGCCATATTGGCTGTCCATGCAAATAGGGGACCAGTGCATTTACACATTATGGGATGCGAATTCTACAGATGTTCTACAGGTGTCTTGCCTTGTCTAGGATCTTTCACATGCATTTCTCCATAATCATAATTCATAAAAAGGTAAACATTTCCTCTTGACATTAAGTCTAGTTGTGTTCAACTCTGGGGGAGGTGCTCATCTTCATTTCTAAGCTTATTTATTTATCGTGTCAATATCAACCAGACAATTGTATTACATTTTTAACAAATTTTTAACAAACAGACAAAGCAGAGTTTGCAAGCTTGGTAGTTGATTAAATGTCCTTTGACCAGTATCTGGCCACTTGGAGTGCCTCTGGTGTTGCTGCAAGGAGGTCCTCCATTGTGCATGTGGCGGGGCTCAGGTTGCATTGCAGCAGGTGGTCAGTGGTTTGCTCTTCTCCACACTCACATGTTGTGGATTCAACCTTGTAGCTCCATTTCTTGAGGTTGGCTCTGCATCTCGTGGTGCCAGAGCGCAGGCTGTTCAGTGCCTTCCAAGTCGCCCAGTCTCCTGTGTGCCCAGGGGGGAGTCTCTCATTTGGTATCAGCCATTGATTGAGGTTCTGGATTTGAGCCTGCCACTTTTAGACTCTCGCTTGCTGAGGTGTTCCAGCGAGTGTCTCTGTAGTTCTTAGAAAACTATTTCTTGATTTAAGTCATTGACGTGCTGGCTGATACCCAAACAAGGGATGAGCTGGAGATGCCTCTGCCTTGGTCCTTTCACTATTGGCTGCCACTTCCTGGCGGATGTCAGGTGGTGCAATACCAGCTCAACAGTGTAATTTCTCCAGTGGTGTAGGGCACAGACGCCCTGTGATAATGCAGCATGTCTCATTAAGAACCACATCCACTGTTTTAGCATGGTGAGATGTGTTCCACACTGGGCATGCATACTCAGCAGCAGAGTATTATAGCCCAAGGGCAGATGTCTTCACTGTATCTGGTTGTGATCCCCAGGTTGTTCCTGGCACAACCATTTCTAAGCTGAAGAGCCAGTATTGTCCATGGATACCTCCAAGGTCATGTGGCCGGCATGACTGCATGGAGTGTCAGTACCTTCCTACCAAAGCGGTTCCTATTGATCTACTCAGATTTGCATGTTTTTGAACTGCTAGGCTGGCAGAAGATGAAGCTAACAGTAGGAGCTCACCCTGCCCCACAGATTCGAACCGCCAAGCATTTGGTCAGCAAGTTCAGCAGCTCAGCAGTTTAACTCACTGTGCAACCGGGGGTTCCTCATAATTCATACATCTGGGCTTTTTAATTCTGGCAACAGGAATTCACTGAAATATAACAATTGACTGTAAAGGGGTAGGGAAGTGTGAAAACAACTGGAGTAGAAATGCAACAGGTAATGGCGCTACATTCAGTCATGCCGGCCACATGACCTTGGAGATATCTACGGACAACACTGGCTCTTCGGCTTAGAAATGGAGATGAGCACCAACTCCTAGTCGGACACGACTGAACTTAATGTCAGGGGGAAACCTTTACCTACAAGAAGAGGCAGTGTGTGGACAAGAGCACAAGAATGTGGAAATGAGCGCAAAATCACATTCCACTGTCAAAAAAGAAAAGAGATTTCTTCATTGCTAAAGGATGTGAAGTTATACATTTACTTGTGTTAATACTGCCGATTGAGATCTCAGAAACTACAGAGGGTGGACAGGGATTAGGCTTCAATTTTCTTCAGTGAAGGAATATCTCTTTTTTAGTTTATTATGCTTTCTCAGCGTCGGTTCTACTTAAAATGCCTAACAGCAAACAATTTAAGACTAAATCTGATTTGAATGGGACTGGAGTGAGTGCTGATTAACAAGTTCCATTCATTTCAATGGATCTCCTTATCCTGAGACTAAAGTTGGAGTTAGCTCCCTACATCTGGTGAAAAAAAGTGAGTCAGTTCAAAGGCTAAATTCTCAGTTCAACACACAATGAAATAATCTTAAGTTCAGTACAAACAAGTAAGAATACATTTTGAATGTAAAAGCTCTGCCATACTACTACTTCCAGGGTATGAAAACACAATACCCTGTGGCCTAAAATAAAGTTCATAGAGATGAGAAATTCTCATTAGGCTTGGCATTAGTTACATACAAGTCTTTTCTCCAGGACTTCTGAATGCTCCGCTTGTCAATGCTGTCAATTTCTCTGGCCTCACAGACCAGAGAAATATTCACATAAGTATATGGGAGAGAAGTAATGGCAATGGGGTGTTCCTATGTCAGTTGGATGGCAAATATGCTTCACCTGCAGTCAGCTCTCTGTAACTACAGGTTCTGCATCCACAGATTTTGCCATTTTATATAAAGGAAGCCATTTGAGTATTGCATTGTATATAATGGGATTTCAGTACCCACAGATTTTGGTATCGACAGAGGGTCCTGGAACCAAAGTTGCATGGACACCAAGGGACCACTGCACTTGACTTTCAAGGAACTATCCATGGTGCTGAACCCTATACTCAATCTAGATTCAATAACTTGAATAGCTCCTTTAGTATTTCCACAACTAAGGACTTTCCTTGACCCAGTAACATGGAAGATGGCACTGGAAAAAAGAGAAGAGGCAATATGGAGGAATGCAGTTGACAGGGGAGGATGACATTTTAAATTCCAAACCTATTCAGGAGAAAATCTATGCCGGATAACAACTAAAGGGCCATAATAGCCGATTTGTGTTTGAAAGTGACATTTTCACACTCCTAATCAATTTCAGTGGCATCACAACCCCAAACTCAAGTAAACCCCAAAGTGTCTGCAAGAATGCATATTCCCAAGTGCACCAAAGCCTCATGGCGCTTTGGGACTGAAAGTCATTTATGCATGTCTTTGGACAGCGGGGTTACATAAACAGAGCTGCATTTTAAAACATTATTTGTACATAAGGCAATGACATAACTAGCAGCCTACCTCTGTACTTTCTCCTTGACTTCTTCTGCAAACACTGGATCAACCTATTAAAAAAAAAGAAAAAATCTATCTCATTCATAGAATCATAGAGTTGGAAGAGACCTTGCGGGCCTTCCAGTCCAACCCTCTGCCAAGAAGAAGAAAAATCTCATTCAAAGCACCCCTGACAGATGGCCATCCAGCCTCTGTTTAAAAGCCTCCAAAGGAGGAGCCTCCATCACACACTAGGGCAGAGAATTCCACTACTGAACAGCTCTCTCACACAGTTAGGAAGTTCTTCTCAATGTTCAGGTGGAATCTCCTTTCTTTCCTGTAGTTTGAAGCCATTGTTCCATGTCCTAGTCTCCAGGGCAGCAGAAAACAAGTTTGCTTCCTCCTCACTTGATACATGTCCCCCACCATGTCTCCTCAGCCTTCTCTTCTGCAGGCTAAACATGACCTGTTCTTTAAGCCGCTCCTCACAGGGTTTGTTCTCCAGACCCTTGATAATTTTAGTCGCCCTCCTCCGGACACATTCCAGCTTCTCTCTTGAATTGTGGTGCCCAGAATTGGATAAAATATTCCAGGTGTGGTCTGACCAAGGCAGAATAGAAGGGTAGCATGACTTCCCTGGATCTAGACACTAGACTCCTATTTATACAGGCCAAAATCCCACTGGCTTTTTTAGCCATCACATCACATTGTTGGCACGTTTAACTTGCTGTCCATGAGGATTCCAAGATCTTTTTCACACGTACTGCTATCGAGCAAGGCATCCCCCATTCTGCAAACCATCCTCTACTTTTTAACATGGAGAGTATGAGGAAAATATAATGTTGAGCAGCATATTGAAGATGATGTGCCCAGTGCATCAATCTAATCTTCTCAAAAGGAAACATTTTCTTACTGATTCCACTTAGAAAGAGACCAAAGACAGTTTCCCTCCAAAAATCTACTCCTGGTTTTTATAGGAGCCTATTTTCACTGCTTTAAAGCATCCTCCACTCTTGAGTATTCCTCTTTTTCCCCAGGCAGTTTGGCAGATTACTAGTTTTATTTATCTGTCCCTCTGTTTTTGCTGTGGCTTGAGTGCTTCTTTTAATTACTGTATATACTCGAGTATACGATGATGTGTTAATACACAAAAAACTGGGAAAATGTATTGACTCAGGTATAAGCTGACAGTTGGAAATGCAGCAGCTACTGGTAATTTTTTTTAAAAAAATAGATACCAATGAAATTATATTAATTGAGGCAGCAGTAGGTTAAATGTTTTTGAATATTTACATAAAGCTGTAATTTAAGATAAGACTGTCCAACTCTGATGAAACCATCATTCTAACCTTCTTCAGTGTTAATGTACTTATGGATCCTTCTAATAATAATAAAGAGAGTAAAATAATAAATGTTATACTAATAATAGAGTAAAATAAATGTAATAATAATAAAGCAATAAATGTAATAAAATTGAGTAAAAGAGCAAATGTAATAATAATAATAATAATAAAAGAGTTAAATAATCTAATAATAATAAATAGGGTAAATCAATAAATATAATAACAATAAATAGAGAAAGAGAATAAATGTAATAATAACAAATAGAGTAAAAGAATAAATGTAATAAAAATAATAAATAAACAATAAATGTCATAATAACAATAAATAGAAAAAAGAATAAATGTAATAACAATAAATAGAGAAGAATGATGTAAATGTAATAATAATAATAAATAGAAAAAATAAATAATAATAATAATAATAATAATAATAATAATAACAATAAAATAATAAATAACCTTGACTTGAGTATAAGCCGAGGGAAGCTTTTTCAGTCAAAAAAGGGCTGAAAAACTAGGCTTATAATTGAGTATATACAATATGTCAGTGTTTTCCTGTTGCAAACACTGGTCCTCTTGGTGATGTTGGACGGCATTTCCCAAAATCCCCCATCATTGATTATGCTGGTCAGGACTAATAGAAAATGTATACCAACAATATCTGGAGGGCCGCATTTTGCCTACCCTTCCTTTAGCACCAAAAGGTGCCAGAGAAGTCTTTTATAAATCCAATCTAAGATGCCTTCATATGTTCCCATCTCAGCTCTGCTCTAACATCCTCTTCCTTTTTGATAAATCTCATGAGCGTTCTCCCAACATTTCTCAAATGCAAAAAAAGTGAAAATTTTAAATATCCCTAAGCAAGCACAATATGCTTAGGATATATAACATTTGAGGAATTGTCCAATTGTGTGGGGCCCTGGTGGATTTGTTCCCTTCTAATACTTCATTTGTAGGGAAAGTGAAGCAAATGCAAAGCGACAACTGAAGCGCCTGAAGACTTTCTAGGGGTGGGGGGGACTAGAAGAGTCGAAAGCACAAACCGCATTATACTTGTTCCCAATTTTCTCTTCCACACCACTTCGCTTTCAAATCTTGTGGTGTATCAGAGTGGAAAGAAACAAAGATTAAAAAAGAAGAGAAAAGGAAAACATCAGCACAATGAAAAGGAAAGGTAATGATAGCATGATGCCTTAATGAAAACATAGCAACTGAAACTTTTAAAAGACACGTTAATGGAAGAGGGAAACTGCATCAAAGACTCTTCAGGGAGAAAGAGAACCATATAAAAACATGTCATGAAGAGGAAAAGCACAGTTCTAGCTGCTTAGATTTGTCCTGATTGTATCTTACACAAATAGAGTAAGCTTACTCCTTGCTCTATTGAACAAGTTACCATTTTCCTCTGTATTGACCTTCATGGCTAGAGCTCTTAATTTTTGAAAATTCTTCAGGGACAAGGACTTATTTACACAACACAATTAGAGTACTATGAATGCCACTTTGACTGCCATGGTTCTATCCCATGAAACCCTGCCAATCAAAGAAGGGACATTTGGAATTCTCAGCCAGGGAACTCTGGTGTCTTATAGAATCATAGAATCATTGAGTTGGAAGAGACCTCGTGAGCCATCAAGTCCAACCCCTTGCCAAGAAGCAGGAAAATGGCATTCAAAGCATCCCCGACACAGAGAGAGAGAGTTCCACTGTTGAACAGCTCTCACAGTCAGAATGTTCTTCCTCATGTTCAAGTGGAATTGCCTTTCCTGTAGTTTGAAGCCATTGTTCCACGTCCTAGTCTCCAGGGCAGCAGAAAACAAGCTTACTCCCACCTTCCTATGACTTCCCCTCACATATTTATACATGGCCATCATGTCTCCTCTCAGCCTTCTCTTCTGAAGGCTAAACATGTCCAGATCTTTAAGCCCCTCCTCATGGGGCTTGTTCTCCAGACCCTTGATCATTAGGGTCACCCTCCTCTGGACACATTCCAACTTAGAGTCAACCTCTCCCTTCAATTGTGGTGCCAGAATTGAACACAGTATTCCAGATGTGGTCTGACCAAGGCAGAATAGAGGGGTAGCACAATCTCCCAGGATCTAGACACTATACTCTTATTTCTGCAGGCCAAAATCCTATTGCAGTGGTTCTCAACCTGTGGGTCCCCAGATGTTTTGGCCTTCAATTCCCAGAAATCCTAACAGCTAATAAACTGGCTGGGATTTCTGGGAGTTGTAGGCCAAAACACCTGGGGACCTACAGGTTGAGAACCACTGTCTATTGGCTTTTTTTGCCGCCGCATCACATTGTTGGCTCATGTTTAGCTTGTTGTCCACGAGGACTCCTAAGATCTTTTTCAAACGTACTGCTCTCGAGCCAGGCCTTGTCCCCTATTCTGTATCTTTGCATTTCATTTTTTTTCTGCCTAAGTGGAGTATCTTGCATTTGTCTCTGTTGACTTTCATTTTATTTTGGCGCATCATCTCTCAAACCTGTAAATATCATTTTGAATTTTGCTCCTCTCTTCTGGGGTATTGGCTCTCCCTCCCAATTTGGTGTTGTCTGCAAACTTGATGATTATGCCTTCTAACCCTTCACCTAAGTCATTAATAAAGATGTTGAACAGAACCAGGCCCAGGATGGAACCCTGCTCATGGCACTCCACTTGTCACTTCTTTCCAGGAAGAAGAGGAAGCATTGAGGAGAATCACCCTTTGGGCTCGCTCACTTAACCAATTACAGGTCCACCTAACCATAGGTTTGCCTAGCCCACATTTGACTAGTTTGTTTGCCAGAAGGTCATGGAGGATCTTGTCGAAGGAAGGCCTTCCTGAAATCCAGATACGCTTCATCCACAACGTTCCCTGCATCTACCCAGCTTGTAATTCTATCGAAAAAAGAGATCAGATTAGCCTGGCATGACTTGTTTTTGATACATTCTTCTTGACTATTAGCGATGACCGCATTTGTTTCTAAGTGTTTGCAGACCGCTTCCTTAACAATCTTTTACAGAATCTTGCCTGGTATCGATGTGAGGCTGATTGGACACTAACTGTTTGGGTCGTCCGTTTTTCCCTTCTTGAAGACCAGGAACACATTTGCCCTCCTCCAATCTGCTTGAACTTCTCCCATTCTCCAAGAACTCCCAAACTTCAAATTTCAGGATTTCAGGGGATGGAATCATGGCAGCTGAAGTAGAATTGTAGCACTATATTTCTGTAGTGTAAATGGGCCCCATGTAATGTGGGGAGAAAATGTTGTTTCCAACTTCGGAAAAGGTGGGACAATTAGTTTCCGGGAAAAGCGCAAAGTATTGGTTATAATCTTTAAATCCCTACATGGTTTGGGTCCAGGTTACCCACACAATCCATGGCCCCTTGAGACACTGAGGTCCGTAGGGGGACGCTTACTCCAACCAGCTGGGACCCAACTGACAACCATATCCCAGAGACTGGCCACCCCGAGAAGACTGTGGAAGAGACTCGGCAGCTAAATCATCTTTCAGAGTTCAAGATGCAACTGAAGACCCACCTCTTCTAGCAGGCCTACCCAGCCAATTTTAAACTGGGAATTTTAGCCTACGTTTTATTAATGTGGTCTTGAGTTATATGTATTTTTATAGTGTTGTTTTATCATTCTGTTTCAATCCTATTGAAACACATCGGCCCTTGCACTTTGCTACTCTGCTGCTGAGTACGCATGCCCGGTGTGAAGCACATCTCACCATG